TTCAAACAATTCTTAGTTACTCAATGATCTTGGGAGTTAATCTTAACTTTTTACTCTGCTTTAAATTACTATGAATTCTATTGCCATAATATTGTTACCATTTCCTTTTAGGCCACTATCATTTTTCCTCACTTTGTCCCCCCATATTCTGTCCTCTATTTCCTTCACTGCCCTCCAGCCTTTTGGAGAGTAACAATACTGTTGAAAGAGCTTCTCTTTTGGTTCTAAATCTTCTCCTTTTAATATACATATCTAGTAACATATCTATATTATATATATTATATATATATAATATATATATACCATGGTATATATACCAATATATATCCTTTTAATATAACATATATAATATAGCTATATATAATATATATAATATAGCTAGCTCAGAAGCAGTCAGTTTACTGCTTCATCTCTGCTTAAATACGTATTGGTCTAATTTGTTATTTTTTTTCTGTATAATTTCAAACAAATCACGAACACATAGGACATATACGAAAGTTTTAGGTTAACCACAGTCTTCAGAATTGAAGAAATACCAGAAGCACTGCAGAGAGGAATTAAGTAGCCAGCAAAGGATGAAACTGTGGTTGCTTTACACTGCTGCTTTTCTTCGATGTACAGAAACAATTTGTAGTTCTGTACACAACTCTCGGCAGGTTGAACCAAATGTGTGTAGAATTCAAAGCAGAGAATCATCCTTGTTCTAGTCACTAACAGTGTATATTTAAAACCTTTCTCCTTACCCATTTTCCGCACTGTTCCAGTAGAAACAATGTCTTTGCTCCTATAAGAATCCAACCCAGCCATGTGTACTCTGGAACCCACTTTCTCTTAACCTCTCAAAACGCTTTTCAATTATTCCTCTACCGTTCTTTCTTGCAGTATCGATTTTTTCCTTTACGCTGATTCATTTCTATTACAATAAAATGCACCAGGACTCACTGTATTTTTTAAAAACTCCCTTGACCAGGGGTACCTGGGTGACTCAGTTGGTTAAGCATCCAGCTCTTGATTTCAGCTCAGGTCATGATCTCATGGTTTGTGGGTTTGAGCCCCGTGTCAGGCTCTGCACTGATAGTGTGGTCTCCTTGAGACTCTCTGTCTCTTTCTCTCTTGGCCCCTCCCCTGTGCATGCTCTGTCTCTCTGTCTCTCTGTCTCTCTCAAAATAAATAAATAAACATTAAAAAAAAACAAAACCTTTGACCAGACATATTCCTCTCAGAGCATACTTGTCAATAGATTCGGTTAAATTCACACCCTCAAATTCCTCACCTGTTCTCTTTTCAATACATTTCATTCTCTTCACAAAATTGGTTCTGATCAGTATCACTAAAAATTCTGCATTTCCAATTCAATGGCCATTTTGCTGGCGTTGTGTTTCTTGAGGTTTCAAGCAGCATATAATACAGTTGACAAAAACTTTTTTCTATGGATTTCTGAACATGCCTTTGTATTTCCTCCTCCATCCTTAGCTGCAGTTTCTCAGTCTTACCTACTGGCTCCCCTCTGTTTTAGCTCTGACAGTCAAAGTCAAAGATCTTCAAAGGACATGACTCAGCCCCATATAAGTACTCTCTATCTAGATGAACTTACTCTGCATCATGTACGGTTCTTTGTCTTGAGCTCCTGGTACAAATATCTGAGTGCCTAGATGACATTTCCCTCTGGATATCTGATAGACATCTCACGCTTATGTCCAGAACCTGATCATCTTTTTCCAATTATGTCTTTTCAATCCTTTATTCCCCTATTTCTTTTCTTTCAGTGAAGTGAAGGGATTTAAATTTTAGGGCAATTGAACCTATTCTGTAGGATAGTATAATGGTGGATTCATGACATTATGCTTTAGTCAAAACCTGTAGAGCCTCATCGCAGAAAGAGTGAACCTTCGTGTATGCAAATTAACAAAGAATAATTTTGGAAGCTATGGTTCCCCAGTATGAAATGCAGGAACTGCGAGCCGCCTGGGTGGCTCAGTTGGTTAAGTGTCCGACTTTGGCTCAGGTCATGATCTCACGGTTCCTGGGTTCAAGCCCCACGACGGGCTCTGTTGCTGATGACTTAGAGCCTGGAGCCTGCTTTGGATTCTGTGTTTCTCTCTCTGCTCCTCCCCCATTCATGCTCCATCTTTGTCTCAAAAATAAATGAATAAACTAAAAAAAAATGCAGGAACTGCTAAAAGAATCTGACTGTATTGCAGAAGTATGAAACAGCCTCATTGAAGGATGTGGGAATAAAGTTTGAAGATCTAAGTAATCTTGGAAATGTGTAGTTTTAACTTATAAGACTAATAGCAAAAAGAATTGTACACAAGTACTGTCATTGGTAATTTCCCACAAGGTACAGGATAACAATTCTGAAGCCACAAAAAATGTATGCTAGAATTGAGCAATTAAGTAAATGAGCCGTAATGGTGGCAGCCATGTTTGTCACTGCTGGAGCAGGAGGTAATGGAAATGCAAGGGTGGGGATTAGGAGGATCCATTTTGTAATTTATTAAAGTTCATCAGCAGGGCGCCTGGGTGGCTCAGTCAGTTGAGCATCTGACCTCAGCTCAGGCCATGATCTCAGCGTCAGTGAGTTCGAGCCCCACGTCAGGCTCTGTGCTCACAGCTCAGAGCCTGGAGCCTGCCTCGGATTCTTCGTCTTCCTCTGTCTCTGCCCCTCCCCCGCTCACACTCTGTCTCTCAAAGATAAACAAACACTAAAAGAAAATTTAAAAAAATAATAAAGTCCATCAGGATGAATGCTTGGAACCAACTGAAAGAGTTCCAATGACCAAAGATGGAACAATGTGAGGAACAAAACAAATAAAGTAGTATTGGACTAGAGCTGAAAGTATAAAAAAAAGAATGAATTTTACTGATATAAATGATTGAATAAATCAGTAAGTGGGAGACTAGACAAAAATCACCTGCAGAAGGTTTCTAAATAATTAATGTAGACACTCTGTCATGAAAGAGGTTGGGTGTAACTCCACTTTTTAAGTGTGGGCTGCACATACTGACTTCCTTTCAAAGGGCACAGTATGGAAATGGAGAAAAAAGAGTAACTTTGTAGTAGATAAAGCTGACAAACACTGCTATAGACAAGTGATCAAAGTTAACAGTAGTGATAAACCATGTTGGTAGTATGTACTGTTTATAAGATGTGATAAGAATGGGAATTTATCCCTGTGGTCTTCCTCCAAAAACCTTTAACCCAAGTGTAATGATGAGAAAAACATCAGACTCTTCCAATTTGAGAATATTCTACAAGATATCTGATCAACACTCCTCAAAACTGTAAAAACAAAACAAAACACCTCCAAACAAAACATTAAAAACAAGGAAAGAGTAAGAAATTGTCAGCCAAGAATATCCTAAGAAGATGTAAAAAATATGGGGCACCTGGGTGGCTCAGTCAGTTGAGCATCTGACTTCAGCTCAGGTCGTGATCTTGTGGTTCATGAGTTCAAGCCCCACATCAGGCTCTGTGCTAATAGCATGGAACCTGGAACCTGCTTTGGATTCTGTGTCTCCCTCTTTCTCTGCCCCTCCCCTATTCACATCCTGTCTCTCTCTCTCAAAAAATAAACATTAAAAAAATTTTTTTAAAGAATAAATACACTGTCGTATCCAAAATGGGATCCTTCAATAGAAAAGGTAGTAAGTAAAAACAAAGTATAGACTTTCATTAATAACAATGCATCAATATTGATTCATTAATTTTGACAAATGTTCCATACTAACATAAAAGGTTAATAAAAGAGAAAGTTGGGTGTTGTGTATATGAGAATTCTCTGTGCTAATGTCATCACTTTTCTGCCTATCTAAAATGATCCTAAAAGGAATAGTTAAATTTTTTTTACAAAAATAGTTTATTGTCAAATTAGTTTCCACATAACACCCAGTGCTCATCCCCACAAGTGCCCTCCTCCATGCCCATCCCTCCTCCCCCCTACATCCATCAGTCCTCAGTTTTTGTCAGCATTCAAGAGTCTCTCATGGTTTGCCTCTCTCCCTTTCCCCCCCCCTTTCCGCCCTTCTTCTCCCCCTTGTTCCTCCGTCAAGTTCCTCCTAATCCTCCTATACGTGCAGACATATGATATTTGTCCTTCTCTGCCTGACTTATTTCGCTCAGCATAACACCCTCAAGGTCCATCCATGTTGCTACACATGGCCAGATTTCATCGTTTCTCATTGCCATGTAGTATTCCATGGTATAGATAAACCACATCTTCTTGATCCATTCATCTGTTGATGGACACTTAGGCTTTTTCCATGTTTTAGCTATTGTGGAGAGTGCTGCTATGAACATTGGGGTCCATGTGCTCCTATGCATCAGCATTTCTGTATCCCTCGGGTAAATTCCTAGCAGTGCTATTGCTGGGTCCTAGGGGAGTTCTAGTGTTAGTTTCCTGAGGAACCTCCACACTGTTTTCCAGAGGGGCTGTACCAGTTTACATTCCCAGCAACAGTGTAGGAGGGTGCCCGTTTCTCCACATCCTCGCCAGCATCTAGAGTTCTCTGATTTGCTCATTCTAGCCACTCTGACTGGCGTGAGGTGGTATCTCAGTGTGGTTTTGATTTGTATTTCCCTGATGAGGAGGGATGCTGAGCATCGTTTCATGTGTCTGTTGGCCATCTGGATGTCCTCTTTGGAGAAGTGTCTGTTCATGTCTTCTGCCCATTTCTTCACTGGGTTGTTTGTTTTACGGGCGTGGAGTTTGGTGAGTTCCTTATAGATTCTGGATATTAACCCTTTATCTGATATGTCATTTGCAACTATCTTTTCCCATTCCGTTGGTTGCTTATTAGTTTTCTGGGTTGTTTCCTTGGCTGTGCAGAGGAATAGTTTATTTTTAAAAAATGAAGGTCACCTCACTATCCTTTGTGGTTTTACAACTATTGGGTTTATGTCAATGCCACAGTTTTGAGACACTGACTGTGCTTTTGATCAGGTAATGTCTCTGTTTCCATCTCATTCAAATATGGTTTATTCTATTTATAGGATGTTTGGACAGATGCAAAACACAGAGAGATCAATGATGCAGAAGACAAGAAAGCATCCCCCCTATCATTGTCAACACAAGTGGACATACAAAGGTAGGAATCCATCACCCCCCCCAGTAGCCCACAGATTATAAAATTGCTAGAATTTTCTGTGGGCCTTTTAATCCTAGACTTTTAATGAGAACTTTTAAAAACGTGAACTAGAATCTGTTATTCAGAAACGTTTTTATCTTATTTTTAAACAATATGTTTACATAGATATCTCCTCACTAGACTGTGTTCTTTTTCAATGTCTTCAGCTTCACACCCATTTCAGTTCCTGGTATATAGTTATATATTTATAAATATTCTTAACTTGAATGTAATCAATCAGATTTGATTTAACCTGGGTTGAAGATTCTGAAGGTGTTCTAATGCTACTATATCAAGCAAAGTACAGAATGATACAAGTTAGTGTCTGAGTGTGGTTTCATGAATTGATATAAAGATAAAACTTTTATTTCAGACAACATTTGAGAAGATGGCTACAATACTTGGTCTTACATTTCTCTTTTAGACACTCGTTTTTATTATTCATCAATTATGTTGGTATTACTTATATTTTGCCTTCCCGGGCTTCAAACCCACTGAATATTTTCTGTCTAATGGAGAAAAGATGTAAATGAAGGTAGATGACAAATTTTAGTGGAAATGTTTTTTTTAATGTTTTATTTATTTCTGAGAGAGAGAGAGAGAGAGAGAGTGCCTGAGCAGGGGAGGGTCAGAGAGAGAGGGAGACAAGAATCCGAAGCAGGCTCCAGGCTCTGAGTTGTCAGAACAGAGCCCAACGCGGGGCTCGAATCCACAAACTGTGAGATCATGACCTGAGTTGAAGCTGGATACTTAACGGACTGAGGCACCCAGGCGCCCCTAGTCGAAATGTTTTAAGTGACCAGTTGGCGGACTAATATCCACCCATTTGATTGTCGATTGGGGTGTTCTCACATAAGTGTTACATAAGAAGGATAGTAAATAAAGAGTAAATAAAAGATATGGACCACTCAGAATCGATAAATCCAATTCTTTTCAGATAATTAAATATGTGATCCTATCAAGGTAATTTAAACAGAGATTGTATATTCTTTCAAAGAATATACACTCCTTTAGACAAAGTGTGTACTCTCAGAATTTTACATTTCTATGACACATTTTCAAGTTTGCTATAAATGCCTAAGTGTTTCAGAAAGAAAAATTATTTATTACAGATTACCCTAAATGTCCCAAGCGGCACCAGACTGCTCTGAGATTGTCCAGACTGGCACTGGCTATACTCATTGCCATAGTGATAGGACTAACTATTTGGGGTGAGTAAATTGAAAGCTATCTGTTCAACTAGAGAGATGAATATGCTTCCCTTGCAGTTTACTTTTCTTTCACTAACTTTTCCAGAATCATTTTTCAGATTTGTCTAGTACTTTAATTATGTCGATATTAAATGGCACGGTTGATCTTTTCATTAATAATGGGTTTTTTTTTCTTATACAGAGGAAACAACAAACTTGTTAATTTGTAAAATCTATTCTGCTTATAATTTTTTAAAATTGTTTTAAATTTTTAAAAAATATTTATTTTTGAGAGGCAGAGAGAGGGAGAGAGAATGGGGAAGGGCAGAGAGAGAGTGGCCGAGGATCTGAAGCAGGCTCTGCACTGAGAGCAGAGAGCCCCATGTGGGGCTTGTACCCATGAACCACGAGATCATGACTTGAGTCAAAGTCAGATGCTTAACGTACTGAGCCATTTAGGCACCTCATAGTTATTTTATTTTTTAAGTTTATTTATTTGTTTCGAGAGAGAGAGAGAGAGAGAATGAATGGGGGAGGGGCAGAGGGAGAGGGACAGAGAGAATCTTAAGTGGACTCCATGCCCGGAGTGGAGCCAAACATGGGGCTCAAACCCACGAACTGTGAGATTATGAGGTGAGCCAAAATCAAGAGTTGGATGCTTAACCAACTGAGCCACCCTTGGGCACCCCTGCTCATAATTAATTGGTAAATTTAGTGTAGGTATGGGTGTCACAATTCTATGAATTGAAATTTTATATTTTGGTAAAAGCACAGTTTTATGGAAGCTGATTTGGCCCTTTAAATAAAACTTTGGATTTTAGAAGTAACTTGATATTTTAATGTTTTGACAAAGTTTATCAGCTGCTTGAAAATTTTAAGATCTAGTCCTAAAATGAGCTCTACTTCAAGAAGAGTCATGAGTAATTATATGTTATTATTTCTATTTATTGTGACCTTCTATGTGTTAGGAATTGTGCTAAGCATTTTACATACATTATTTTTTTAGCCTTAAAAAAACTCTAAGTTTGTTAAGCATTTTCCCCTTTCATATATGAGGGAACTGAGAAATAGAACGGCTAGTAATCCGTTCAAGATCACACAGCAGTCTGACCTATCATATCTAACAGATACAAGTTTCAATATATTTTAATTTTATTTAGATAATTTTTAATTTTTTTTCTAATTGCTTGTTCATAAGTGGAAATCTCCGGAGTCTCTAAGTTTATTCATCCTTTGTCAAACTATAGAGTTGAAATGCTATAGGCAGATTTCTCAACCAGCAGTGTGAGCATTCATTTATAGTTTTGCTTTAGTGGGTAATTAAAAGGCATAAGGTCGTGCTTGTGGAAATCTAATAAGTGTTCGTACTTTTCTTTATTTGTTAGTATGTCACCTAAGTAGTGAGAAAGGAACCAAAGATTGTGATGGCATGAATATTTCTCCCAGGAAACAGCAGGACAATACAAACTTCACAAGTAAGTGGTTATATTTCATTCTATTGTAGGGGAGGAAAAACGTCCTCCACCCTCTTAAGTTTAGTACCAGGGGGCCTGTGAATTAAACCATCAAAAGACCAACTAACAAGAAAATAAGTTTTATTTTTCATTCACAGGAGAGGTAACAAAAGAAGTAGCTATCTCTACATGGTTACAGTTAAAGGTTTACATACCTAGCTTAATAGGAGGAAGGGGGAAGAATTGCTTTGGGAAAAACAAATACATTTCCTTGGGAAAGACAAGTAGGCTTTTCAGGAGAGTGAACTGGAGGTAACAAAATTAGTAATGGTGCCTGCATATATAGGTGTGAGGAGTCTTTCCCTCTAAGTAGTCATTAATTCCTCCAGAAAGAAGATTCAAGGTAAAGTACTTAGTCTATTTTTTTTTCTGGAAATAAACCACTCCAAAGAGGAATTTATGACAGCCTCATGTCTCAGAAGCTTCTATTTTTAGTTAGATAAGGGACGCTCCTAGGAGGCTTCTTTCTGCATCTGTTGATTATATTTGGCATATACAAAATAATTGGTTTACTGACAAGAATAGCAAAGAATTTCAGAAAAAGTCCCTACCCTTCCCAACCTCATGATTAATGTGTGAGACAATAAAGTCAAATGGCAGTTTAAACTGATAAAACATTCCCAACAGAGGTCTAGCATAGCATCTTTCACTAGGCATCATATTAAATCAAACTCACAAATATATTAAGGGTTAGAATGTAATGGCTGCATGAGAATTTAAGATGAAATCAATATTTTTTTTTGAAACTGTGCCTAAGACCCTAAAAAACAAGTTTATTGTCCTCTGTTGTTGGAGATGATTCAGTGGAAAACTGTGAGATCATTGGCCTCGAATAGTTTTGTTGATGTTATTGCCTTTTATTCTACTACCCAAAGACATTATACTAGGATTTTGTACCTATTTTTACCCATGGAGCTGTCACTTCTCTACTATATGGATTACCATTTCTGTAATTATTATTTGTTATAAGATACAGTTAAGGTGTTTGATCATTCTTTAAAAAGCAATGTTGAAAGATCGAATTGTAAGGCATTCGGAGATCAGTATGGCTCACGAAGAAAGTGATTACTAAATGTGAATTTACTCTCTTCAAGATTTCTATTTGTTTCCAAACTGCAGCCAGTATGATCTTTGTAGAATGCAGATCGATGACCAGGGCACTGAGGGTGAAGAAAAAGAATTTCCCCTTTACCTTGATAGGTTTTTGACTGAGACCCCCCTGTAATATATAACAGATTAACAGGAGAAAAACAGAAGTTTTATAACACTTATATCTTTGGTATACATGAGAGATACCCAGGAAATCTGAGTAACTCCCCAAAATGGCCCAAGCCACCACCTCACATACCATGTCCAGCTAAAGACAAAAGAAAATGTTGGGGGCAGGGGAGCCAACCTAGGGGCCAAAGGCAGGCTGCCCCAAAATACCACAATAGTGTATTAATTATTTTAAATTGAAGCTACTTGAGAAATAGCTAGTCCAAAGGCACTTAGTACATCCTCTGTCCCCCTGAAAGCAGGAAATAAATCTCCTGTATGAAAGGTACCCTTCTTTTAAAAAGTGTTTTTTTATATTTATTTATTTTTGAGAGGGAGACAAAATCACAGAGTGTGAGCTGGGAGGGGCAGAGAGAGGGGGAGACCACAGAATCTGAAACAGGCTCCAGGCTCTGAGCTGTCAGCACCCAGAACCATTGCAGGGCTCGAACCCACGAACCATGAGATGAGACCTGAGCCCAGTTGGACACTCAACTGACTGAACCACCCAGGTGCCCGGAAAGATACCTCCTTTTTCTAAGAAGCGAAAAGACATCTTTATCACCAGATAAGAAACCTTAATGCCAAAAAAACCTGTGAAAACAAACCTCGTTGCTTTTTTTCCTAATACACTACTTTAGCCCAACTTCTTAGAATTCTTTGCTAATTAAATCTCTCAAACGTGTTTTCTTTATCCTGTCAATTCTTCACAAATTTATTGCCTCTTAGTCTAAAATGAATAAAAATTGCCTGACTTGCTCATTTGTTTGGGTCTCAAATTCATTATGGGGCCTCTGTGTACATGCAATCAAACTTTGGTTTTTGCTTCTGTTAAGCTGTCTAATGTAAATTTAATGTTTTTAAGGCTATCTATTTATTTTTGAGAGAGAGAGAGAGAGAGAGAGAATGAACCGGAGAGGGGCAGACAGAGGAAAAGACAGAGAGTCCCAAGGAGGGATTCCCTACTCGGGGCACCATCTCACCAACCGGTAAGATCATGACCTGAGCCAAACCAAGAATAGGATGTTCAATTGACTGTGCCACCCAGGTGCCCCAAAAGGAGTTTCTTTCTTTCTTTCTTTTTTTTTTCTTAGATCACCATTTTATTTTATTTATTTATTTATTTATTTATTTATTTATTTATTTTTTACAAATAGTTTGTCAAATTAGTTTCCACATAACACCCAGTGCTCATCCCCACAGTGCCCCCC